CGCACATGTGTAGAGAAAATGGTGCATCGGCCAGTCTGGCCGGCATTTCGCACTTTTAGTGCAAGTAGGGCCAAGGAGAACGGAAACGCTCATTTCTCAAAAAGTAAAGGGAATCTAGCGGTCTCACTCGATCAGAAGGTGGGAAATATATAAATCTAGTGAGCTTATAAGGTTGGGAAGGAATCTAATGCATATGTATATGGAAAGTGGTGCATTGGCCAGGTCGGTCAGTATGGGAACTTAGAGTGCAAATGCCTAGGAGAACGGAACCGCTCAGATCTCGCATAATACACAGAATCTAGTGGTCTCACTCAAATATAAGGTAGGAAATATATTCATCTAGTGAACGTAAGGGTTTGAAAGGTAACTAACGCACATGTGTAGAGAAAATGGTGCATCGGCCAGTCTGGCCGGCATTTCGCACTCATAGTGCAGGTGGGGCCAGGGAGAACGGAAACGCTCGTTTCTCAAAAAGTAGAGGGAATCTAACGGTCTCACTCGATCAAATGGTGGGAAATATATAAATCTAGTCAGCTAAAAAGGTTTGAAATGTATTCAACGCACTTGTATAGAGAAAATGGTGCATTGGCCAGGTCGGTCAGTATCGGAACTTAAAATGCAAATGCCAGGGAGAACGGAAGCGCTCAGATCTCGCATAGTACACGGAATCAAGTGGTCTCACTCAAATAGAAAGTAGGAAATATATTCATCTAGTGAACATAAGGGTTTGAAAGGTAACTAACGCACATGTGTAGAGAAAATTGTGCATCGGGCAGTTTGTCCGGCATTTCGCACTTATAGTGCAACTAGGGCCAAGGAGAACGGAAACGCTCATTTCTCAAAAAGTAAAGGGAATCTAGCGGTCTCACTCGATCAGAAGGTAGGAAATATATAAATCTAGTGAGCTAATAAGGTTCGAAAGGAATCTAATGCATATGTATATGGAAAATGGTGCATTGGCCAGGTCGGTCAGTATGGGAACTTAGAGTGCAAATGCCAGGGAGAACGGAAGCGCTTAGATCTCGCATAGTACACGGAATCTAGTGGTCTCACTCAAATAGAAGGTAGGAAATAAATTCATCTAGTGAACGTAAGGGTTTGAAAGGTAACTAACGCACATGTGTAGAGAAAATGGTGCATCGGCCAGTCTGGCCGGCATTTCGCACTTATAGTGCAAGTAGGGCCAAGGAGAACGGAAACGCTCATTTCTCAAAAAGTAAATGGAATCTAGCGGTCTCACTCGATCAGAAGGTGGGAAATATATAAATCTAGTGAGCTAATAAGGTTCGAAAGGAATCTAATGCATATGTATAGGGAGATTGGTGCATTGGCCAGGTCGGTCTGTATGGGAACTTAGAGTGCAAATGCCAGGGAGAACGGAAGCGCTCAGATCTCGCATAGTACACGGAATCTAGTGGTCTCACTCAAATAGAAGTTAGGAAATAAATTCATCTAGTGAACGTAAGGGTTTGAAAGGTAACTAGCGCACATGTGTAGAGAAAATGGTGCATCGGCCAGTCTGGCCGGCATTTCGCACTTATAGTGCAAGTAGGGCCAAGGAGAACGGAAACGCTCATTTCTCAAAAAGTAAAGGGAATCTAGCGGTCTCACTCGATCAGAAGGTGGGAAATATATAAATCTAGTGAGCTAATAAGGTTTGAAAGGAATCTAATGCATATGTATATGGAAAATGGTGCATTGGCCAGGTCGGTCAGTATGGGAACTTAGAGTGCAAATGCCAGGGAGAACGGAACCGCTCAGATCTCGCATAGTACACGGAATCTAGTGGTCACACTCAAATAGAAGGTAGGAAATATATTCATCTAGTGAACGTAAGGGTTTGATAGGTAACTAACGCACATGTGTAGAGAAAATGGTGCATCGGCCAGTCTGGCCGGCATTTCGCACTTATAGTGCAAGTAGGGCCAAGGAGAACGGAAACGCTCATTTCTCAAAAAGTAAAGGGAATCTAGCGGTCTCACTCGATCAGAAGGTGGGAAATATATAAATCTAGTGAGCTAATAAGGTTCGGAAGGAATCTATTGCATATGTATATGGAAAGTGGTGCAGTGGCCAGGTCGGTCAGTATGGGAACTTAGAGTGCAAATGCCTGGGAGAACGGAACCGCTCAGATCTCGCATAGTACACGGAATCTAGTGGTCTCACTCAAATAGAAGGTAGGAAATATATTCATCTAGTGAACGTAAGGGTTTGAAAGGTAACTAACGCACATGTGTAGAGAAAATGGTGCATCGGCCAGTCTGGCCGGCATTTCGCACTTATAGTGCAAGTAGGGCCAAGGAGAACGGAAACGCTCATTTCTCAAAAAGTAAAGGGAATCTAGCGGTCTCACTCGATCAGAAGGTAGGAAATATATAAATCTAGTGAGCTAATAAGGTTCGTAAGGAATCTAATGCATATGTATATGGAAAATGGTGCATTGGCCAGGTCGGTCAGTATGGGAACTTAGAGTGCAAATGCCAGGGAGAACGGAAGCGCTTAGATCTCGCATAGTACACGGAATCTAGTGGTCTCACTCAAATAGAAGGTAGGAAATAAATTCATCTAGTGAACGTAAGGGTTTGAAAGGTAACTAACGCACATGTGTAGAGAAAATGGTGCATCGGCCAGTCTGGCCGGCATTTCGCACTTATAGTGCAAGTAGGGCCAAGGAGAACGGAAACGCTCATTTCTCAAAAAGTAAATGGAATCTAGCGGTCTCACTCGATCAGAAGGTGGGAAATATATAAATCTAGTGAGCTAATAAGGTTCGAAAGGAATCTAATGCATATGTATAGGGAGATTGGTGCATTGGCCAGGTCGGTCTGTATGGGAACTTAGAGTGCAAATGCCAGGGAGAACGGAAGCGCTCAGATCTTGCATAGTACACGGAATCTAGTGGTCTCACTCAAATAGAAGTTAGGAAATAAATTCATCTAGTGAACGTAAGGGTTTGAAAGGTAACTAGCGCACATGTGTAGAGAAAATGGTGCATCGGCCAGTCTGGCCGGCATTTCGCACTTATAGTGCAAGTAGGGCCAAGGAGAACGGAAACGCTCATTTCTCAAAAAGTAAAGGGAATCTAGCGGTCTCACTCGATCAGAAGGTGGGAAATATATAAATCTAGTGAGCTAATAAGGTTCGGAAGGAATCTATTGCATATGTATATGGAAAGTGGTGCAGTGGCCAGGTCGGTCAGTATGGGAACTTAGAGTGCAAATGCCTGGGAGAACGGAACCGCTCAGATCTCGCATAGTACACGGAATCTAGTGGTCTCACTCAAATAGAAGGTAGGAAATATATTCATCTAGTGAACGTAAGGGTTTGAAAGGTAACTAACGCACATGTGTAGAGAAAATGGTGCATCGCCCAGTCTGGCCGGCATTTCGCACTTATAGTGCAAGTAGGGCCAAGGAGAACGGAAACGCTCATTTCTCAAAAAGTAAAGGGAATCTAGCGGTCTCACTCGATCAGAAGGTGGGAAATATATAAATCTAGTGAGCTAATAAGGTTTGAAAGGAATCTAATGCATATGTATATGGAAAGTGGTGCATTGGCCAGGTCGGTCAGTATGGGAACTTAGAGTGCAAATGCCAGGGAGAACGGAACCGCTCAGATCTCGCATAGTACACGGAATCTAGTGGTCTCACTCAAAAAGAAGGTAGGAAATAAATTCATCTAGTGAACGTAAGGGTTTGAAAGGTAACTAACGCACATGTGTAGAGAAAATGGTGCATCGGCCAGTCTGGCCGGCATTTCGCACTTATAGTGCAAGTAGGGCCAAGGAGAACGGAAACGCTCATTTCTCAAAAAGTAAATGGAATCTAGCGGTCTCACTCGATCAGAAGGTGGGAAATATATAAATCTAGTGAGCTAATAAGGTTCGAAAGGAATCTAATGCATATGTATAGGGAGATTGGTGCATTGGCCAGGTCGGTCTGTATGGGAACTTAGAGTGCAAATGCCAGGGAGAACGGAAGCGCTCAGATCTTGCATAGTACACGGAATCTAGTGGTCTCACTCAAATAGAAGTTAGGAAATAAATTCATCTAGTGAACGTAAGGGTTTGAAAGGTAACTAGCGCACATGTGTAGAGAAAATGGTGCATCGGCCAGTCTGGCCGGCATTTCGCACTTATAGTGCAAGTAGGGCCAAGGAGAACGGAAACGCTCATTTCTCAAAAAGTAAAGGGAATCTAGCGGTCTCACTCGATCAGAAGGTGGGAAATATATAAATCTAGTGAGCTAATAAGGTTCGGAAGGAATCTATTGCATATGTATATGGAAAGTGGTGCAGTGGCCAGGTCGGTCAGTATGGGAACTTAGAGTGCAAATGCCTGGGAGAACGGAACCGCTCAGATCTCGCATAGTACACGGAATCTAGTGGTCTCACTCAAATAGAAGGTAGGAAATATATTCATCTAGTGAACGTAAGGGTTTGAAAGGTAACTAACGCACATGTGTAGAGAAAATGGTGCATCGCCCAGTCTGGCCGGCATTTCGCACTTATAGTGCAAGTAGGGCCAAGGAGAACGGAAACGCTCATTTCTCAAAAAGTAACTAGCGGTCTCACTCGATCAGAAGGTGGGAAATATATAAATCTAGTGAGCTAATAAGGTTCGAAAGGAATCTAATGCATATGTATATGGAAAATGGTGCATTGGCCAGGTCGGTCAGTATGGGAACTTAGAGTGCAAATGCCAGGGAGAACGGAACCGCTCAGATCTCGCATAGTACACGGAATCTAGTGGTCTCACTCAAAAAGAAGGTAGGAAATAAATTCATCTAGTGAACGTAAGGGTTTGAAAGGTAACTAACGCACATGTGTAGAGAAAATGGTGCATCGGCCAGTCTGGCCGGCATTTCGCACTTATAGTGCAGGTGGGGCCAGGGAGAACGGAAACGCTCGTTTCTCAAAAACTAGAGGGAATCTAACGGTCTCACTCGATCAGAAGGTGGGAAATATATAAATCTAGTCAGCTAAAAAGGTTTGAAATGTATTCAACGCACATGTATAGAGAAAATGGTGCATTGGCCAGGTCGGTCAGTATCGGAACTTAAAATGCAAATGCCAGGGAGAACGGAAGCGCTCAGATCTCGCATAGTACACGGAATCAAGTGGTCTCACTCAAATAGAAAGTAGGAAATATAATCATCTAGTGAACGGGTCTGAAAGGTAACTAACGCACATGTTTAGAGAAAATTGTGCATCGGGCAGTCTGGCCGGCATTTCGCACTTATAGTGCAACTAGGGCCAAGGAGAACGGAAACGCTCATTTCTCAAAAACTAGAGGGAATCTAGCGGTCTCACTCGATCAGAAGGTGGGAAATATATAAATCCACGTCTCCGTCCACGTCCACGTCCACGTCCACGTCCACGTCCACGACCATGTCCACGTCCACGTCCACGTCCACGTCCATGTCCACGTCCACGTCCATGTCCACGTCCACGTCCAGGTCCATGTCCACGTCCACGTCCACGTCCACGACCACGTCCACGTCCACGTCCACGTCCACGTCCACGTCCACGTCCACGTCCACGTCCATGTCCAAGTCCACGTCCACGTCCACGTCCACGTCCACGTCCACGTCCACGACCACGTCCACGTCTACGTCCACGTCTATGTCCACGTCCACGTCTACGTCCACGTCTATGTCCACGTCCACGTCCACCTCCACGTCCATGTCCACGTCCACGTCTACGTCCACGTCTATGTCCACGTCCACGTCTACGTCCACGTCTATGTCCACGTCCACGTCCACCTCCACGTCCATGTCCACGTCCACGTCCATGTCCACGTCCACGTCCATGTCCACGTCCACGTCCACGTCCACGTCCACGTCCACGTCCAAAACCACGTCCAGGTCCACGTCCACGTTCACGTCCACGTCCACGTCCATGTCCACGTCCTCGTCCACGACCACGTCCACGTCCACGTCCACGTCCACGACCATGTCCACGTCCACGTTCACGTCCACGTCCACGTCCACGTCCACGTTCACGTCCACGTCCACGTCCACGTCCACGTCCACGTCCACGTCCATGTCCATGTCCACGTCCACGTCCAGATCCATGTCCACGTCCACGTCCACGTCCACGTCCATGTCCACGTCCACGTCCACGTCCACGTCCACGTCCACGTCCACGTCCATGTCCACGTCCACGACCACGTCCACGAACATGTCCAAGTCCACGACCACGTCCACGTCCACGTCCACGTCCACGTCCACGTCCACGACCACGTCCACGTCTACGTCCACGTCTATGTCCACGTCCATGTCCACGTCCACGTCCAGGTCCACGTCCACGTCCACGTCCACGTCCACGACCACGTCCACGTCCACGTCCACGTCCACGTCCACGTCCATGTCCACGTCCACGTCCACGTCCACGTCCACGTCCACGACCACGTCCACGTCCACGACCACGTCCACGTCTACGTCCACGTCCACGTCCACGTCCACGTCCACGTCCACGTCCACGTCCATGTCCACGTTCACCTCCACGTCCACGTCCACGTCCACGTCCACGACCATGTCCACGTCTACGTCCACGTCTATGTCCACGTCCACGTCTACGTCCACGTCTATGTCCACGTCCACGTCCACCTCCACGTCCATGTCCACGTCCACGTCTACGTCCACGTCTATGTCCACGTCCACGTCTACGTCCACGTCTATGTCCACGTCCACGTCCACCTCCACGTCCATGTCCACGTCCACGTCCATGTCCACGTCCACGTCCATGTCCACGTCCACGTCCACGTCCACGTCCACGTCCATGTCCACGTCCAGGTCCACGTCCACGTTCACGTCCACGTCCACGTCCATGTCCACGTCCACGTCCACGACCACGTCCACGTCCACGTCCACGTCCACGACCACGTCCACGTCCACGTCCACGTCCACGTCCACGTCCACGTCCACGCCCACGTCCAGGTCCACGTCCACGTTCACGTCCACGTCCACGTCCATGTCCACGTCCACGTCCACGACCACGTCCACGTCCACGTCCACGTCCACGACCATGTCCACGTCCACGTTCACGTCCACGTCCACGTCCACGTCCACGTTCACGTCCACGTCCACGTCCACGTCCACGTCCACATCCATGTCCATGTCCACGTCCACGTCCAGGTCCATGTCCACGTCCACGTCCACGTCCATGTCCACGTCCACGTCCACGTCCACGTCAACGTCCACGTCCACGTCCATGTCCACGTCCACGACCACGTCCACGAACATGTCCAAGTCCACGACCACGTCCACGTCCACGTCCACGTCCACGTCCACGTCCACGTCCACGACCACGTCCACGTCTACGTCCACGTCTATGTCCACGTCCGTGTCCACGTCCACGTCCAGGTCCACGTCCACGTCCACGTCCACGTCCACGTCCACGACCACGTCCACGTCCACGTCCACGTCCATGTCCACGTCCATGTCCACGTCCACGTCCACGTCCACGTCCACGTCCACGTCCACGACCACGTCCACGTCCACGACCACGTCCACGTCTACGTCCACGTCCACGTCCACGTCCACGTCCACGTCCACGTCCACGTTCACCTCCACGTCCATGTCCACGTCCACTTCCACGTCCACGTCCACGTCCACGTCCAGGTCCACGTCCACGTCCACGTTCACGTCCACGTCCACGTTCACGTCCACGTCCACGTCCACGTCCACGTCCACGACCACGTCCATGTCCACGTCCACGTCCACGTCCACGTCCACGTTCACGTCCACGTCCATGTCCACGTCCACGTCCACGTCCAGTCCATGTCCACGTCCACGTCCACGTCCACGTTCACGTCCACATCCACGTCCACGTCCACGTCCACGTCCACGTCCACGTCCATGTCCACGTCCTAGTCCTCCACGTCCACGTCCACGACCACGTCCACGTCCACGTCCACGTCCACGACCACGTCCACGTCCAGATCCACGTCTACGTCCACGACCACGTCCATGTCCACGTCCACGTCCACGTCCACGTCCACGTCCAGATCTAGTCCACGTCCACGTCCACGTCCACGTCCACGTCCACGTCCATGTCCACGTCCTAGTCCTCCACGTCCACGTCCACGTCCGCGTCCACGTCCACGTCCACGTCCGCGTCCACGTCCACGTCCACGTCCGCGTCCACGTCGACGTCCGCGTCCGCGACCACGTCCACGTTCACGTCCACGTCCACGTCCACGTCCACGTCCACGTCCACGTCCACGTCGACGTCCACGTCCACGTCCTAGTCCTCCACGTCCACGTCCACGTCCACGTCCACGTCCACGTCCACGTCCACGACCACGTCCACGTCCAGATCCACGTCTACGTCCACGACCACGTCCATGTCCACGTCCACGTCCACGTCCACGTCCACGTCCAGATCCACGTCCACGTCCACGTCCACGTCCACGTCCACGTCCACGTCCATGTCCACGACCACGTCCATGTCCACGTCCACGTCTACGTCCACGTCCACGTCCACGTCCACGTCCACGTCCACGACCACGTCCACGTCCACGTCCACGTCGACGTCCACGTCCGCGTCCACGTCGACGTCCACGTCCGCGTCCACGTCGACGTCCACGTCCGCGTCCACGTCGACGTCCGCGTCCGCGACCACGTCGACGTCCACGTCCGCGACCACGTCGACGTCCACGTCCACGTCCACGTCCACGTCGACGTCCACGTCCACGTCCACGTCCGCGTCCACGTCCACGTCCACGTCCGCGTCCACGTCCACGTCCACGTCCACGACCACGTCCGCGTCCACGTCCATGTCCACGTCCACGTCCACGTCCAAGTCCATGTCCAAGACCACGTCCACGTCCACGTCCACGTCCACGTCCACGTCCACGTCCACGTCCACGACCACGACCACGTCCACGACCATGTCCACGTCCATGTCCACGTCCACGTCCACGTCCGCGTCCGCGTCCACGTCCGCGTCCACGTCCGCGTCCCCGTCCACGTCCACGTCCACGTCCGCGTCCGCGTCCACGTCCGCGTCCACGTCCGTGTCCCCGTCCACGTCCACGTCCACGTCCACGTCCACGTCCACGTCCGCGTCCACGTCCACGTCCACGTCCGCGTCCGCGTCCACGTCCACGTCCAGGTCCACGTCCACGTCCACGTCCACGTCCACGACCACGTCCACGTCCCCGACCACGTCCACGTCCACGTCCACGTCCTCGTCCACGTCCATGTCCACGTCCACGTCCACGTCCACGTCCACGACCACGTCCACGTCCACGTCCACGTCCATGTCCACGTCCATGTCCATGTCCACGTCCACGTCCACGTCCACGTCCACGACCACGACCACGTCCACGACCACGTCCACGACCACGTCCACGTCCATGTCCACGTCCACGTCCACGTCCACGTCCACGACCAGGTCCACGACCACGTCTACGTCCACGTCCACGTCGACGTCCACGACCAGGACCACAACCACGTCCACGTCCACGTCCACGTCCATGACCAGGTCCACGTCCACGTCCACATCCACGTCCACGTCCAAGTCCACGTCCACATCCACGTCCACGTCCACGACCATGTCCACGTCCACGTCCATGTCCACGTCCACGTCCACGTCCATGTCCACGTCCACGTCCACGTCCACGTCCATGTCTACGTTCACGTCCACGTCCACGTCCACGTCCACGTTTACGTCAACGTCCACGACCAGGTCCACGTCCACGTCCACGACCATGTCCACGTCATCGTCCACGACCATGTCCACGTCCACGTCCACGTCTACGTCCAGGTCCACGTCCATGTCCACGTCCACGTCCATGTCTACGTCCATGTCCACGTGCACGTCCACTTCCACGTCCACGTCCACGTGCACGTCCACGTCCACGTCCATGTCCACGTCCACGTCCATGCCACGTCCACGTCCACCTCCACGTCCACGTCCACGTCTACCTCCACCTCCACGTCCACCTCCACGTCCATCTCCACGTCCACCTCCACGTCCACGTCCACGTCCACGTCCACGTCCACGTCCATGTCCACGACCATGTCCACGTCCATGTCCAGGTCCACGTCCACGTCCACGTCCACGTCCACGTCCATGTCCACGTCCACGTCCATGTCCACGTCCACGTCCACGTCCACGTCCACGTCCACGTCCACGTCCAGGTCCACGTCCACGTTCACGTCCACGTCCACGTCCATGTCCACGTCCTCGTCCACGACCACGTCCACGTCCACGTCCACGTCCACGACCATGTCCACGTCCACGTTCACGTCCACGTCCACGTCCACGTCCACGTTCACGTCCACGTCCACGTCCACGTCCACGTCCACGTCCATGTCCATGTCCACGTCCACGTCCAGGTCCATGTCCACGTCCACGTCCACGTCCACGTCCATGTCCACGTCCACGTCCACGTCCACGTCCACGTCCATGTCCACGTCCACGACCACGTCCACGAACATGTCCAAGTCCACGACCACGTCCACGTCCACGTCCACGTCCACGTCCACGACCACGTCCACGTCTACGTCCACGTCTATGTCCACGTCCATGTCCACGTCCACGTCCAGGTCCACGTCCACGTCCACGTCCACGTCCACGACCACGTCCACGTCCACGTCCACGTCCATGTCCACGTCCATGTCCACGTCCACGTCCACGTCCACGTCCACGTCCACGTCCACGTCCACGACCACGTCCACGTCCACGACCACGTCCACGTCTACGTCCACGTCCACGTCCACGTCCACGTCCACGTCCACGTTCACCTCCACGTCCATGTCCACGTCCACGTCCACGTCCACGTCCACGTCCACGTCCACGTCCACGTCCACGACCATGTCCACGTCTACGTCCACGTCTATGTCCACGTCCACGTCTACGTCCACGTCTATGTCCACGTCCACGTCCACCTCCACGTCCATGTCCACGTCCACGTCTACGTCCACGTCTATGTCCACGTCCACGTCTACGTCCACGTCTATGTCCACGTCCACGTCCACCTCCACGTCCATGTCCACGTCCACGTCCATGTCCACGTCCACGTCCATGTCCACGTCCACGTCCACGTCCACGTCCACGTCCACGTCCATGTCCACGTCCAGGTCCACGTCCACGTTCACGTCCACGTCCACGTCCATGTCCACGTCCACGTCCACGACCACGTCCACGTCCACGTCCACGTCCACGACCACGTCCACGTCCACGTCCACGTCCACGTCCACGTCCACGTCCACGTCCAGGTCCACGTCCACGTTCACGTCCACGTCCACGTCCATGTCCACGTCCACGTCCACGACCACGTCCACGTCCACGTCCACGTCCACGACCATGTCCACGTCCACGTTCACGTCCACGTCCACGTCCACGTTCACGTCCACGTCCACGTCCACGTCCACGTTCACGTCCACGTCCACGTCCACGTCCACGTCCACATCCATGTCCATGTCCACGTCCACGTCCAGGTCCATGTCCACGTCCACGTCCACGTCCACGTCCACGACCACGCCCACGAACATGTCCAAGTCCACAACCACGTCCACGAACATGTCCAAGTCCACGACCACGTCCACGTCCACGTCCACGTCCACGTCCACGTCCACGTCCACGACCACGTCCACGTCTACGTCCACGTCTATGTCCACGTCCGTGTCCACGTCCACGTCCAGGTCCACGTCCACGTCCACGTCCACGTCCACGTCCACGACCACGTCCACGTCCACTTCCACGTCCACGTCCACGTCCATGTCCACGTCCACGTCCACGTCCACGTCCACGTCCACGTCCACGACCACGTCCACGTCCACGACCACGTCCACGTCTACGTCCACGTCCACGTCCACGTCCACGTCCACGTCCACGTCCACGTTCACCTCCACGTCCATGTCCACGTCCACGTCCACGTCCACGTCCACGTCCACGTCCAGGTCCACGTCCACGTCCACGTTCACGTCCACGTCCACGTTCACGTCCACGTCCACGTCCACGTCCACGTCCACGACCACGTCCATGTCCACGTCCACGTCCACGTCCACGTCCACGTTCACGTCCACGTCCATGTCCACGAACACGTCCACGTCCAGTCCATGTCCACGTCCACGTCCACGTCCACGTTCACGTCCACGTCCACGTCCACGTCCACGTCCACGTCCACGTCCACGTCCACGTCCATGTCCACGTCCTAGTCCCCCACGTCCACGTCCACGACCACGTCCACGTCCACGTCCACGTCCACGACCACGTCCACGTCCAGATCCACGTCTACGTCCACGACCACGTCCATGTCCACGTCCACGTCCACGACCACGTCCACGTCCAGATCCACGTCCACGTCCACGTCCACGTCCATGTCCACGTCCACGTCCACGTCCACGTCCACGTCCATGTCCACGTCAACGTCCATGTCCACGTCCACGTCCACCTCCACGACCATATCCACGTCCAGGTCCACGTCCACGTCCACGTCCACGTCCACGTCCACGTCCATGTCCACGTCCACGTCCACGTCCACGTCCACGTCCACGTCCACGTCCACGTCCACGTCCACGACCACGTCCACGTCCACGTCCACGTCGACGTCCACGTCCACGTCCACGTCGACGTCCACGTCCGCGTCCACGTCGACGTCCACGTCCGCGTCCACGTCGACGTCCGCGTCCGCGACCACGTCGACGTCCACGTCCGCGACCACGTCGACGTCCACGTCCACGTCCACGTCCACGTCGACGTCGACATCCACGTCCACGTCCACGTCCGCGTCCACGTCCACGTCCGCGTCCACGTCCACGTCCACGTCCACGACCACGTCCGCGTCCACGTCCATGTCCACGTCCACGTCCACGTCCAAGTCCATGTCCAAGACCACGTCCACGTCCACGTCCACGTCCACGTCCACGTCCACGTCCACGTCCACGTCCACGACCACGACCACGTCCACGACCATGTCCACGTCCATGTCCACGTCCACGTCCACGTCCGCGTCCGCGTCCACGTCCGCGTCCACGTCCGCGTCCCCGTCCACGTCCACGTCCGCGTCCACGTCCACGTCCACGTCCACGTCCGCGTCCACGTCCACGTCCACGTCCGCGTCCGCGTCCATGTCCACGTCCAGGTCCACGTCCACGTCCACGTCCACGTCCACGACCACGTCCACGTCCTCGACCACGTCCACGTCCACGTCCACGTCCTCGTCCACGTCCATGTCCACGTCCACGTCCACGTCCACGTCCACGACCACGTCCACGTCCACGTCCACGTCCATGTCCACGTCCATGTCCATGTCCACGTCCACGTCCACGTCCACGTCCACGACCACGACCACGTCCACGACCACGTCCACGACCACGTCCACGTCCATGTCCACGTCCACGTCCACGTCCACGTCCACGACCAGGTCCACGACCACGTCTACGTCCACGTCCACGTCGACGTCCACGACCAGGACCACAACCACGTCCACGTCCACGTCCACGTCCATGACCAGGTCCACGTCCACGTCCACATCCACGTCCACGTCCAAGTCCACGTCCACATCCACGTCCACGTCCACGACCATGTCCACGTCCACGTCCATGTCCACGTCCACGTCCACGTCCATGTCCACGTCCACGTCCACGTCCACGTCCATGTCTACGTTCACGTCCACGTCCACGTCCACGTCCACGTTCACGTCAACGTCCACGACCAGGTCCACGTCCACGTCCACGACCATGTCCACGTCATCGTCCACGACCATGTCCACGTCCACGTCCACGTCTACGTCCAGGTCCACGTCCATGTCCACGTCCACGTCCATGTCTACGTCCATGTCCACGTCCATGTCCACTTCCACGTCCACGTCCACGTGCACGTCCACGTCCACGTCCATGTCCACGTCCACGTCCATGCCACGTCCACGTCCACCTCCACGTCCACGTCCACGTCTACCTCCACCTCCACGTCCACCTCCACGTCCATCTCCACGTCCACCTCCACGTCCACGTCCACGTCCACGTCCACGTCCACGTCCACGTCCATGTCCACGACCATGTCCACGTCCATGTCCAGGTCCACGTCCACGTCCACGTCCACGTCCACGTCCATGTCCACGTCCACGACCATGTCCACGTCCACGTCCACGTCCACGTCCACGTCCACGACCATGTCCACGTCCACGTCCACGTCCACGTCCACGTCCACGTCCACGACCAGGTCCACGTCCACGTCCACGTCAACGTCCACGTCCACGTCCACGTCCACGACCACGTCCACGTCCACGTCAACGTCCACGTCCATGTCCACGTCCACGTCCACGTCCACGTCCACGTCCACGTCCGCGTTCGCGTCCACGTCCACCTCCACGTCCACCTCCACGTCCACCTCCACGTCTATGTCCACGTCCACCTCCACGTCCACGTCCACCTCCACCTCCACGTCCACGTCCGCCTCCACGTCCACGTCCACGTCCGCCTCCGCGTCCACGTCCACGTCCGCCTCCACGTCCACGTCCACGTCCGCATCCACGTCCACGTCCACGTCCACGACCATGTCCACCTCCACGTCCATGTCCACGTCCACGTCCACGTCCACGACCATGTCCACCTCCACGTCCACGACCAGGTCCATGTCCACGTCCACGTCCACGACCAGGTCCACGTCCACGTCCACGTCAACGTCCACGTCCACGTTCACGTCCACGTCCACGTCTACGACCACGTCCACGTCCACGTCAACGTCCACGTCCACGTCCACGTCCACGTCCACGTCCACGTCTACGACCACGTCCACGTCCACGTCAACGTCCACGTCCACGTCCAGGTCCACGTCCACGACCACGTCCACGTCCATGACCACGTCCACGTCAACGTCCACGTCCACACGACCATGTCCACGTCCACGTCGACGTCCACGTCGACATCCACGACCAGGTCCACGTCCACGTCCACGTCCACGTCCACGACCATGTCCACGTCCACGTCCACGTCCACGTCCACGACCATGTCCACGTCCACGTCCACGACCAGGTCCACGTCCAAGTCCACGTCCACGTCCACGTCCACGTCCACGACCACGTCCACGTCGACGTCCACGTCCACGTCCACGACCAGGTCCACGTCCACGTCCACGTCGACGTCCACGTCCACGTCCACGACCATGTCCACGTCCACGTCCACGTCCACGTCCACGTCCACGTCCACCTCCACCTCCACGTCCACGTCCACCTCCACCTCCACGTCCACGTCCACCTCCATGTCCACCTCCACGTCCACCTCCACGTCCACCTCCACGTCCACCTCCACGTCCACCTCCACGTCCATGTCCACGTCCACGTCCACGTCCACGTCCACGTCCACGTCCACGTCCACGACCACGTCCACGTTCACGTCCACGTCCACGTCCACGTCCACGTCCACGTCCACGTCCATGTCCACCTCCACCTCCACGTCCACGTCCACGTCCACGTCCACGACCACGTCCACGTCCACGTCCACGACCACGTCCACGTCCACGTCCACGACCAGGTTCACGTCCACGTCCACGTCCACGTCCACGTTCACGTCAACGTCCACGACCAGGTCCACGTCCACGTCCACGACCATGTCCACGTCATCGTCCACGACCATGTCCACGTCCACGTCCACGTCTACGTCCAGGTCCACGTCCATGTCCACGTCCACGTCCATGTCTACGTCCATGTCCACGTCCATGTCCACTTCCACGTCCACGTCCACGTGCACGTCCACGTCCACGTCCATGTCCACGTCCACGTCCATGCCACGTCCACGTCCACCTCCACGTCCACGTCCACGTCTACCTCCACCTCCACGTCCACCTCCACGTCCATCTCCACGTCCACCTCCACGTCCACGTCCACGTCCACGTCCACGTCCACGTCCACGTCCATGTCCACGACCATGTCCACGTCCATGTCCAGGTCCACGTCCACGTCCACGTCCACGTCCACGTCCATGTCCACGTCCACGACCATGTCCACGTCCACGTCCACGTCCACGTCCACGTCCACGACCATGTCCACGTCCACGTCCACGTCCACGTCCACGTCCACGTCCACGACCAGGTCCACGTCCACGTCCACGTCAACGTCCACGTCCACGTCCACGTCCACGACCACGTCCACGTCCACGTCAACGTCCACGTCCATGTCCACGTCCACGTCCACGTCCACGTCCACGTCCACGTCCGCGTTCGCGTCCACGTCCACCTCCACGTCCACCTCCACGTCCACCTCCACGTCTATGTCCACGTCCACCTCCACGTCCACGTCCACCTCCACCTCCACGTCCACGTCCGCCTCCACGTCCACGTCCACGTCCGCCTCCGCGTCCACGTCCACGTCCGCCTCCACGTCCACGTCCACGTCCGCATCCACGTCCACGTCCACGTCCACGACCATGTCCACCTCCACGTCCATGTCCACGTCCACGTCCACGTCCACGACCATGTCCACCTCCACGTCCACGACCAGGTCCATGTCCACGTCCACGTCCACGACCAGGTCCACGTCCACGTCCACGTCAACGTCCACGTCCACGTTCACGTCCACGTCCACGTCTACGACCACGTCCACGTCCACGTCAACGTCCACGTCCACGTCCACGTCCACGTCCACGTCCACGTCTACGACCACGTCCACGTCCACGTCAACGTCCACGTCCACGTCCAGGTCCACGTCCACGACCACGTCCACGTCCATGACCACGTCCACGTCAACGTCCACGTCCACACGACCATGTCCACGTCCACGTCGACGTCCACGTCGACATCCACGACCAGGTCCACGTCCACGTCCACGTCCACGTCCACGACCATGTCCACGTCCACGTCCACGTCCACGTCCACGACCATGTCCACGTCCACGTCCACGACCAGGTCCACGTCCAAGTCCACGTCCACGTCCACGTCCACGTCCACGACCACGTCCACGTCGACGTCCACGTCCACGTCCACGACCAGGTCCACGTCCACGTCCACGTCGACGTCCACGTCCACGTCCACGACCATGTCCACGTCCACGTCCACGTCCACGTCCACGTCCACGTCCACCTCCACCTCCACGTCCACGTCCACCTCCACCTCCACGTCCACGTCCACCTCCATGTCCACCTCCACGTCCACCTCCACGTCCACCTCCACGTCCACCTCCACGTCCACCTCCACGTCCATGTCCACGTCCACGTCCACGTCCACGTCCACGTCCACGTCCACGTCCACGACCACGTCCACGTTCACGTCCACGTCCACGTCCACGTCCACGTCCACGTCCACGTCCATGTCCACCTCCACCTCCACGTCCACGTCCACGTCCACGTCCACGTCCACGTCCACGTCCATGTCCACCTCCACCTCCACGTCCACGTCCACGTCCACGTCCACGACCACGTCCACGTCCACGTCCACGACCACGTCCACGTCCACGTCCACGACCAGGTCCACGTCCACGTCCACGACCACGTCCACGTCCACGTCCACGTCAACGTCCACGTCCACGTTCACGTCCACGTCCACGTCTACGACCACGTCCACGTCCACGTCAACGTCCACGTCCACGTCCACGACCACGTCCACATCCAGGTCCACGTCCACGTCCACGTCCACGTCCACGACCACGTCCACGTCGACGTCCACGTCAACGTCCACGTCCACACGACCATGTCCACGTCCACGTCGACGTCCACGTCCACGTCCACGACCAGGTCCACGTCCACGTCGACGTCCACGTCCACGTCCACGTCCACGTCCACGACCAGGTCCACGTCCAAGTCCACGTCCACGTCCACGTCCACGACCACGTCCACGTCCACGTCAACGTCCACGTCCACGTCTACGTCCACGTCCACGTCCACGACCAGGTCCACATCCACGTCCACGTCCACGTCCACGCCCACTTCCACGTCCACGTCCATGTCCACGACCACGTCCACGTCCACGTCCACGACCATGTCCACGTCCACGTCCACGCCCACGTCCACGACCATGTCCACGTCCACGTCCACGTCCACGTCCACGCCCACGTCCACGTCCACGACCAGTCCACGTCCACGTCCACGTCCACGTCCACGTCCACGCCCACGTCCACGACCACGACCACGACCACGTCCACGACCACGTCCACGTCCATGTCCACGTACACGTCTACGTCCACGGTCCACGTCCACGTCCACGTCTACGTCCACGTGCACGTCTACGTCCATGTCTACGTCCACGACCATGTCCACGTCCACGTCCACGTCCACGTCCACGTCCATGTCCACGTCTACGTCCACGTCCACGTCCACGTCCAGGTCCACGTCCACGTCCACGTCCACGTCCACGTCCACGTCCAGGTCCACGACACGACCACGACCACGACCACGACCACGTCCACGTCCAGGTCCACGACACGACCACGACCACGTCCACGACCACGACCACGACCACGACCACCTCCACGTCCACGTCTACGACCACCTCCACGTCCACGTTCACGTCCACGTCCACGTCCACGACCACGACCACCTCCACGTCCACGTCCACGTCCATGTCCACGTCCACGTCCACGTCCACGTCCACGTCCACGTCTACGACCACCTCCACGTCCACGTCCACGACCACCTCCACGACCACCTCCACGTCCACGTCTACGACCACGTCCACGACCACGTCCACGTCCACGTCCACGTCCACGTCCACGACCACGTCCACGTCCACGACCACGTCCACGACCACGTCCACGTCCACGTCCACGACCACGTCCACGTCCACGTCCACGTCCACGTCCACGTCCATGTCCACGTCCACGTCCATGTCCATGTCCACGTCCACGTCCACGTCCACCTCTATGTCCACGTCCACGTCCATGTCCACGTCCACCTCCACGTCCACGTCTACGTCCACGTCCCCGTCCACGTCCATATCTACGTCCACGTCCCCGTCCACGTCCACGTCCACGTCCACGTCCACGTCCACCTCCATGTCCACGTCCACGTCCACGTCTATGTCCACGTCCACGTCCATATCCACGTCCACGTCCACGTCCACTTCCATGTCCACGTCCACGTCCATGTCCACGTCCACGTCCACGTCCACGTCCACGTCCACGTCCAGGTCTATGTTCAGGTCCACGTCCATGTCCACGTCCACGTCCACGTCCACGTCCATGTCCATGTCCACGTCCACGTCCACGTCCAAGTCCACGTCCACGTCCCCGTCCACGTCCATGTCCACGTCCACGTCCACGTCCACGTCTATGTCCACGTCCACGTCCACGTCCAGGTCCACGTCCATGTCCATGTCCACGTCCACGTCCACGTCCACGTCCCCGTCCACGTCCACGTCCACGTCCACGTCCACGTCCACGTCCACGTCCACGTCCATGTCCACGTCCACGTCCATGTCCACGTCCACGTCCACGTTCACGTCCATGTCCACGTCCACGTCCACGTCCACGTCCACGTCCATGTCCACGTCCACGTCCATGTCCACGTCCACGTCCATGTCCATGTCCATGTCCATGTCCATGTCCACGTCCATATCCACGTCCATGTCCACGTCCACGTCCATGTCCACGTCCACGTCCACGTCCATGTCCATGTCCACGTCCACGTCCATGTCCATGTCCACGTCCACGTCCATGTCCACGTCCACGTCCATGTCCATGTCCATGTCCACGTCCACGTCCATATCCACGTCCATGTCCACATCCACGTCCATGTCCACGTCCACGTCCACGTCCATGTCCATGTCCACGTCCACCTCCATGTCCACGTCCACGTCCATGTCCACGTCCACGTCCACGTCCATGTCCACATCCACGTCCACGTCCACGTCCACGTCCACGTCCACGTCCATGTCCACGTCCACGTCCACGTCCATGTCCATGTCCACGCCCACGACCATGTCGACGTCCACGTTTACGTCCACGTCCACGTCCACGTCCATGTCCACGTCCACGTCCACGTCCACGTCCAAGTCCACGTCCACGTCCAAGTCCACGTCCACGTCCACGTCCACGTCCACGTCTACACGTCAACGTCCACGTCCACGTCCACGTCTACGTCCACGTCCACATCCACGTCCACGTCTATGTCTACGTCCACGTCCATGTCCCCGTCTACGTCCACGTCCACGTCCACGTCCACGTCCATGTCCACGTCCACGTCCACGTTCACGTCCCCGTCCACGTCCACGTCCACGTCCATGTCCACGTCCACGTCCACGTCCACGTCTATGTCCACGTCCACGTCCACGTCCACGTCCACGTCCATGTCCACGTCCACGTCCAGGTCTACGTCCAGGTCCACGTCCACGTCCAGGTCCACGTCCACGTCCACGTCCACGTCCACGTCTATGTCCAGGTCTACGTCCATGTCCACGTCCACGTCCACGTCCATGTCCACGTCCACGTCCACGTCCACGTCCACGTCCAAGTCCACGTCCACGTCCACGTCCACGTCCACGTCCATGTCCATGTCCACGTCCACGTCCACGTCCACGTCTATGTCCACGTCCACGTCCACGTCCACGTCCATGTCCATGTCCACGTCCACGTCCATGTCCACGTCCCCGTCCACGTCCACGTCCACGTCCATGTCCACGTCCACGTCCACGTCCACGTCCACGTCCACGTCCATGTCCACGTCCACGTCCACGTCCACGTCCATGTCCATGTCCACGTCCACGTCCATGTCCACGTTTACGTCCATGTCCATGTCCATGTCCACGTCCACGTCCATGTCCACGTCCATGTCCACGTCCACGTCCATGTCCACGTCCACGTCCACGTCCACGTCCATGTCCACGTCCACGTCCATGTCCATGTCCACGTCCACGTCCATGTCCACATCCACGTCCATGTCCATGTCCATGTCCACGTCCACGTCCATCTCCACGTCCATGTCCACGTCCACGTCCATGTCCACGTCCACGTCCACGTCCACGTCCATGTCCACGTCCACGTCCAGTCCACGTCCACGTCCACGTCCACGTCCATGTCCACGTCCACGTCCACGTCCACGTCCACGTCCATGTCCACGTCCACGTCCATGTCCACGTCCACGTCCACGTCCATGTCCACGTCCACGTCCATGTCCACGTCCACGTCCATGTCTACGTCCACGTCCACGTCCATGTCCACGTCCACGTCCATGTCCACGTCCACGTCCACGTCCATGTCCACGTCCACGTCCAAGTCAACGTCCATGTCCACGTCCACGTCCAAGTCCACGTCCATGTCCACGTCCACGTCCACGTCCATGTCCACGTCCACGTCCACATCCACGTCCACGTCCACGTCCATGTCCACGTCCATGTCCACGTCCACGTCCACGTCCACGTCCATGTCCACGTCCACGTCCATGTCCACGTCCACGTCCACGTCCATGTCCACGTCCACGTCCATGTCCACGTCCACGTCCACGTCCACGTCCACGTCCAAGTCCACGTCCATGTCCACGTCCACGTCCACGTCCATGTCCACGTCCACGTCCATGTCCACGTCCACGTCCACGTCCATGTCCACGTCCACGTCCACGTCCACGTCCACGTCCACGTCCATGTCCACGTCCACGTCCACGTCCACGTCCCCGTCCACGTCCACGTCCACGTCCATGTCCACGTCCACGTCCACGTCCATGTCCACGTCCACGTCCATGTCCACGTCCACGTCCATGTCCATGTCCATGTCCATGTCCATGTCCACGTCCATATCCACGTCCATGTCCACGTCCACGTCCATGTCCACGTGCACGTCCACGTCCACGTCCACGTCCATGTCCATGTCCACGTCCACGTCCATGTCCATGTCCACGTCCACGTCCATGTCCACGTCCACGTCCATGTCCATGTCCATGTCCACGTCCACGTCCATATCCACGTCCATGTCCACGTCCACGTCCATGTCCACGTCCACGTCTACGTCCATGTTCATGTCCACGTCCACCTCCATGTCCACGTCCACGTCCATGTCCACGTCCACGTCCACGTCCATGTCCACATCCACGTCCACGTCCACGTCCACGTCCATGTCCACGTCCACGTCCACGTCCATGTCCATGTCCACGCCCACGACCATGTCGACGTCCACGTTTACGTCCACGTCCACGTCCACGTCCATGTCCACGTCCACGTCCACGTCCACGTCCAAGTCCACGTCCACGTCCAAGTCCACGTCCACGTCCACGTCCACGTCCACGTCTACACGTCCACGTCCACGTCCACGTCCACGTCTACGTCCACGTCCACATCCACGTCCACGTCTATGTCCACGTCCACGTCCATGTCCACGTCTACGTCCACGTCCACGTCCACGTCCACGTCCATGTCCACGTCCACGTCCACGTTCACGTCCCTGTCCACGTCCACGTCCACGTCCATGTCCACGTCCACGTCCACGTCCACGTCTATGTCCACGTCCACGTCCACGTCCACGTCCACGTCCATGTCCACGTCCACGTCCAGGTCTACGTCCAGGTCCACGTCCACGTCCAGGTCCACGTCCACGTCCACGTCCACGTCCACGTCTATGTCCAGGTCTACGTCCATGTCCACGTCCACGTCCACGTCCATGTCCATGTCCACGTCCACGTCCACGTCCACGTCCAAGTCCACGTCCACGTCCACGTCCACGTCCACGTCCATGTCCATGTCCACGTCCACGTCCACGTCCACGTCTATGTCCACGTCCACGTCCACGTCCACGTCCATGTCCATGTCCACGTCCACGTCCATGTCCACGTCCCCGTCCACGTCCACGTCCACGTCCACGTCCATGTCCACGTCCACGTCCACGTCCACGTCCACGTCCACGTCCATGTCCACGTCCACGTCCACGTCCACGTCCATGTCCATGTCCACGTCCACGTCCATGTCCACGTTTACGTCCATGTCCATGTCCATGTCCACGTCCACGTCCATGTCCACGTCCATGTCCACGTCCACGTCCATGTCCACGTCCACGTCCACGTCCACGTCCATGTCCACGTCCACGTCCATGTCCATGTCCACGTCCACGTCCATGTCCACATCCACGTCCATGTCCATGTCCATGTCCACGTCCACGTCCATCTCCACGTCCATGTCCACGTCCACGTCCATGTCCACGTCCACGTCCACGTCCATGTCCACGTCCACGTCCATGTCCACGTCCACGTCCACGTCCACGTCCACGTCCATGTCCACGTCCACGTCCACGTCCACGTCCACGTCCATGTCCACGTCCACGTCTATGTCCACGTCCACGTCCACGTCCATGTCCACGTCCACGTCCATGTCCACGTCCACGTCCATGTCTACGTCCACGTCCACGTCCATGTCCACGTCCACGTCCACGTCCACGTCCACGTCCATGTCCACGTCCACGTCCAAGTCCACGTCCATGTCCACGTCCACGTCCAAGTCCACGTCCATGTCCACGTCCACGTCCACGTCCACGTCCATGTCCACGTCCACGTCCACGTCCACGTCCACGTCCATGTCCACGTCCATGTCCACGTCCACGTCCACGTCCACGTCCATGTCCACGTCCACGTCCATGTCCACGTCCACGTCCACGTCCATGTCCACGTCCACGTCCATGTCCACGTCCACGTCCACGTCCACGTCCACGTCCAAGTCCACGTCCATGTCCACGTCCACGTCCACGTCCATGTCCACGTCCACGTCCATGTCCACGTCCACGTCCACGTCCATGTCCACGTCCACGTCCACGTCCACGTCCACGTCCACGTCCACGTCCACGTCCACGTCCATGTCCACGTCCACGTCCACGTCCACGTCCCCGTCCACGTCCACGTCCACGTCCATGTCCACGTCCACGTCCACGTCCACGTCCCTATGTCCACGTCCACGTCCACGTCCACGTCCACGTCCATGTCCACGTCCACGTCCAGGTCTACGTCCAGGTCCACGTCCATGTCCAGGTCCACGTCCACGTCCACGTCCACGTCTATGTCCAGGTCTACGTCCATGTCCACGTCCACGTCCACGTCCATGTCCATGTCCACGTCCACGTCCACGTCCACGTCCAAGTCCACGTCCACGTCCACGTCCACGTCCACGTCCATGTCCATGTCCACGTCCACGTCCACGTCCACGTCTATGTCCACGTCCACGTCCACGTCCATGTCCATGTCCACGTCCACGTCCATGTCCACGTCCCCGTCCACGTCCACGTCCACGTCCACGTCCATGTCCACGTCCACGTCCACGTCCACGTCCACGTCCACGTCCACGTCCATGTCCACGTCCACGTCCACGTCCACGTCCATGTCCATGTCCACGTCCACGTCCATGTCCACGTCCACGTCCATGTCCATGTCCATGTCCACGTCCACGTCCATGTCCACGTCCACGTCCACGTCAATGTCCACGTCCACGTCCACGTCCATGTCCACGTCCACGTCCATGTCCATGTCCACGTCCACGTCCATGTCCACATCCACGTCCATGTCCATGTCCATGTCCACGTCCACGTCCATCTCCACGTCCATGTCCACGTCCACGTCCATGTCCACGTCCACGTCCACGTCCACGTCCATGTCCACGTCCACGTCCATGTCCACGTCCACGTCCACGTCCACGTCCACGTCCATGTCCACGTCCACGTCCACGTCCACGTCCACGTCCATGTCCACGTCCACGTCCATGTCCACGTCCACGTCCACGTCCATGTCCACGTCCACGTCCATGTCCATGTCCACGTCCATGTCCACGTCCACGTCCACGTCCATGTCCACGTCCACGTCCACGTCCACGTCCACGTCCACGTCCACGTCCATGTCCACGGCCACGTCCACGTCCACGTCCAAGTCCACGTCCACGTCCACGTCCACGTCCATGTCCACGTCCACGTCCACGTCCACGTCCATGTCTATGTCCACGTCCACGTCCACGTCCACGTCCACGTCCACGTCCACGTCCATGTCCACGTCCACGTCCACGTCTACGTCCACGTCCCTGTCCACGTCCACGTCCACGTCCACGTCCATGTCCACGTCCACGTCCACGTCCACGTCCACGTCCACGTCTATGTCCACGTCCACGTCCACGTCCACGTCCACGTCCATGTCCACGTCCACGCCCACGTCCACGTCCAGGTCCACGTCCACGTCCACGTCCACGTCCACGTCTATGTCCACGTCCACGTCCACGTCCACGTCCATGTCCATGTCCACGTCCACCTCCACGTCCAAGTCCACGTCCACGTCCACATCCACGTCCATGTCCACGTCCACGTCCACGTCCACGTCCACGTCTATGTCCACGTCCACGTCCACGTCCACGTCCACGTCCCCGTCCACGTCCACGTCCCCGTCCACGTCCATGTCCACGTCCGCGTCCGCGTCCATGTCCACGTCCGCGTCCACGTCCACGTCCACGTCCACGTCCACGTCCATGTCCACGTCTACGTCCACGTCCACGTCCATGTCCACGTCCACGTCCACGTCCACGTCCACGTCCACGTCCATGTCCACGTCCACGTCCACGTCCACGTCCATGTCCACGTCCACGTCCACGTCCACGTCCACGTTCACGTCCACGTCCACGTCCACGTCCATGTCCTTCATGTCCACGTCCACGTCCATGTCCACGTCCACGTCCACGTCCACGTCCACGACCATGTCCACGTCCATGTCCACGTCCACGTCCACGTCCACGTCCACGTCCACGTCCACGACCATATCCACGTCCACGTCCACGTCCATGTCCACGTCCATGTCCACGTCCACGTCCATGTCCATGTCCTCCACGTCCACGTCCACGTCCACGTCCACGTCCACGTCCATGTCCACGTCCAAGTCCACCACGTCCACGTCCACGTCCACGTCCACGTCCATGTCCATGTCCACGTCCACGTCCACGTCCACGACCATGTCCACGTCCACGTCCACGACCATGTCCACGTCCACGTCCACGTCCACGTCCACGTCTATGTCCACGTCCACGTCCACGTCCACGTCCACGTCCATGTCCACGTCCATGTCCACGTCCACGTCCACGTCCATCTCCACGTCCACGTCCACGTCCACATCCACGTCCACGTCCACGTCCACGTCCACGTCCCCGTCCACGTCCACGTCCCCGTCCACGTCCACGTCCACGTCCGCGTCCACGTCCGCGTCCACGTCCGCGTCCACGTCCACGTCCACGTCCACGTCCACGTCCACGTCCATGTCCACGTCCACGTCCACGTCCACGTCCACGTCCATGTCCACGTCCACGTCCACGTCCACGTCCATGTCCACGTCCACGTCCACGTCCACGTCCACGTCGACGTCCACGTCCATGTCCACGTCCAAGTCGTCCACGTCCACGTCCACGTCCACGTCCATGTCCTTCATGTCCACGTCCACGTCCATGTCCACGTCCACGTCCACGTCCACGTCCACGACCATGTCCACGTCCATGTCCACGTCCACGTCCACGTCCACGTCCACGTCCACGACCATGTCCACGTCCACGTCCACGTCCATGTCCACGTCCATGTCCACGTCCACGTCCATGTCCACGTCCTCCACGTCCACGTCCACGTCCACGTCCACGTCCACGTCCATGTCCACGTCCAAGTCCACCACGTCCACGTCCACGTCCACGTCCACGTCCCCGTCCACGTCCACGTCCCCGTCCACGTCCATGTCCACGTCCGCGTCCGCGTCCATGTCCACGTCCGCGTCCACGTCCACGTCCACGTCCACGTCCACGTCCACGTCCACGTCCACGACCATGTCCACGTCCACGTCCACGTCCACGTCCACGACCATGTCCACGTCCACGTCCACGTCCACGTCTATGTCCACGTCCACGTCCACGTCCACGTCCACGTCCATCTCCACGTCCATGTCCACGTCCACGTCCACGTCCATCTCCACGTCCACGTCCACGTCCACGTCCACGTCCACGTCCACGTCCACGTCCACGTCCACGTCCGCGTCTGCGTCCGCGTCTGCGTCCACGTCCCTGTCCACGTCCACGTCCATGTCCTTCATGTCCACGTCCACGTCCACGTCCACGTCCATGTCCTTCATGTCCACGTCCACGTCCACGTCCACGTCCACGTCCACATCCACGTCCATCTCCACGTCCACGTCCACGTCCACGTCCACGTCCACGTCCACG